TGTCTCATCAAAACCTACTTTCCTGGACCAGCCACAGTGCAATGGAATTCAGGCGCCATCACCAGTGGAATCCACAACTTCCCTCCAGTCTTGCATCCATCCGGCCAGTATACTCACACCAGCCTGCTCACCATCCCCTTCAGCAAGTGGGAATCCGAGACATTCCACTGCAACGTTGAGCATGCAGCCACCAACTCCAGAATCAACCAAAACATTGAGCATGAGTCTAGCAAAATTGCTCTTATCATTGTTTTTCCTTTCAAAGGGCAGATTAATAATAATAATAGTGGTGTTTATGTACCACTAGAGCATGAATATGGTTTGTCTTTAAAGGCAAATTGTGTATCGAATTAAGCCTTTGGCAGTTTAGGTCTTGGTATAACTTTTTTTTGTGTTGAATGGCTGAAATGAAGAAGGATCTGGAGGCAACGTAGAAAGAAAAAGGAAGGACATAAACCCTTTTCCTTCCTTTCCTGTATTGGAAGCAGCAAATCCAAACCTGGAGCTGTAGGGACAGGAATCCTCATGGTTTGAAAGGGATTCGGAGAGGATGACTCTTCATGAGAAATAATGACCATTAAACCGTGGGATCGTTAAGCCAAAGGGCAAATAGGACAAGAATGGGTGAATCAAAAGATATTAATTAAGGGCTGTTTCACTTTAGAATCTGCTAATCAACACAATCAGTTCTTTCATTGGTCCTTTTATTGTTCAATATTTCTAAGAAGGTCATCTGAATTGGAACAGACTTCAGGGAATAACAGGTAGGCTCTCCTTTAACACTAAAAGTCACTCCTATGTCCACAGGATGTGAAGCCCATGAACCGGAGTCTCCTGATGTCCATCTGCTCCATTCTTCTTGCAACCGGAAATGCAGTGATGGAGTCATAGAGCTGGTGTGCCTCATTGAGGGTTTTTACCCCAATGAGATTAATGTTGAGTGGCTGGTAGGCAGCCACCATGGATTGCTGGCTCCCTACACCGAACCTCCCAGGCGTGATGTAAATAAGTACACTTTCAGTACTGTTAGCAGGGTCAACATCACCCAAGCAGATTGGTTGGAAGGAAACACTTACTACTGCCAGGTAACCCATGCGGCCTCACAAACCCAGGTGAAAGGCAGAGCCAGGAAATGTGAAGGTAACTATGATGGAATGCAGACTCTGGTTTGTATAATGGGGAATGGACAAAGAATCAGAAAACAAGGACGAAGAAAGCTAATCCCTTTATAAGACCTTCGCTCATGTAAAAATCCATACCTTTTCCAAAGTTCATGGCTTGCTAATAGTTAGATATTCAAGAAAATCCTCCCTGCTATTTTTCGGGCATAGTTGGAAGCAAGAATCATAGTTAAGATAGACCGACATGTGGAATACTATCCAGTGATAGGAACGGACACCTTAGCAATAAGTAAAACAATCTCAACCAGATCAGTGGGCAACATTTTATGAAACACACTGTTAGTACTAGTGGGCAACAGTTTCTTGCTACTTCATTATTGATATTGAAGTATAAATTTCTACTAATAACATGCTTTCTTCTTTTAAAAGATGGTTCTGAGGGATCTTTGCTTTAGGTTTACTGTAACGACTAATCTTTGGAAACAGAGAAACACTAAGCCACAGCCAACTGGGTCCAGACAATAGGACATACCCTTGACAATTCACAAGTAAAACAGACAATGTTTTACCTGCATAAGCTCAAGAACTGATCTAGAAAGAAGAGAATAAATTAGATTAAGGATCTATGGGGAAAGGGAGGGGGATGTAAGGACTGACATCAATTTTGTATCCACAGAGGCCAGCAATCACTTCTCCACTGGGGTTACTGCCTACCTTCTGCCCCCACGGCCAAAAGACTTGTACATAAACAGAAATGCCAGGCTCCTTTGTGTGGCTGTCAATCTGCAACAGGAAGAGGGGTTGAAAATAAGCTGGTCACGTGAGAAGAAAGTTGCCATGCATCCAGAATTAGTGGTGGTGACTGAAGAAAACAATGGAACCTTCACTGCTGTTGGCCGTTACCCTCTCTCTGCCCTTGATTGGGAATCAGGAGAGACGTTCACCTGCTCAGTGGAATATCCAGGTTTGCCTGGTCCCATCGTGAATACAATTTCCAAGAGCCCAGGTAAGGAGCAAGCAGAGTGGCTCTCCAAGCACAAATGAGAACATTTGCAATACACAATGTGCACCACAAGGCTGGGGATATAAGTTCAGTTGTCATCACTAATGGGGTAGCGGTCATTATAAGGGAGAGCCTATGTCCGAGGGAGACCACTGTACCTCAGATAGACGTTGTGGAGTCCCTCCTTGTGAAATGGGGGCAAGGGGTACAAGTGGGCCTGTTGATTATATACCTGGCCCCCTGCTATGTATCAACGGCCCTGCCTGAGCTGGCTGACGTAATAGCCGGGGTGGCGGTTGAGACCCCCAGACTTATAGTCATGGGGGATTTCAATCTGCCATCAGTGGGCGAAACATCGGCGGCAGCTCAG